TTTTTTACATTTACGATATATTCAGCGTATAGTAAATGGCATTTTGAATAATTTTTAAATTGAGAGTGGAATAGGCCTATGGGGGAAACCACTATAAAAAAAGCGCACCATGCTATCTACCGCAAGGTGGTGTGGAAATGATAGCGCATCATTTTCTCGCCACGAAAAGGGGGGACGGGTCATTTTTCGGCGCGGTATTGCGATATATCGCAAACCACCATCATGTCTCGGAGAGCGACCCGCCCACCGCTTCGCCGCGTTCGTAATATCGGATTACGGTGGGACGACTCTCGTCGCCGCGCGCTTTTACTCACGCAGATTGGCCGATCTTTTTTATTTAATATTTCGTTAATTATTGCGACAATCCCAAAGCAATACCGGTCATTTCTTGTTAATTCGAGCCAATCTACTTATTTATTTCATTAAGGTCGAAAATTTACGGACACCCTGTATATATATACACACACACACACACACACACACACACACACACACACACACACACACACACACACTATTTTCTCGATAATAATTTAATTATTATGTATATATGTTATGTGTATATTGTACACACACACACACACACACACACACACACACACACAAATATATTTTCTCGATAAAACTATTTTTCGAAAATATACAATTAAACTATTACGGTACAGTTGATTATTGAATTTAGCGGAGCATATTTTTCAAAAAATATAAATAAGCAGAATAGAAATTAATGTATTATTAATTTTATGTATGGTTTACGTATGTAATCACTTGATGAAAATGATATATGTATTTCAAACACATGTTTCATGCACAAAGAATTTTCCGATGTTATCGAGAAATATCTTGTATATTTAAAAGGGAAATGTCTTATTTAAAATAATTTAAAAAATACAATTTTATAAATACAATTGTATAAATACATATTTATAATAAGTCTATATTTTTTATTCCTATAATAGAACAATTTTAAAATTAACCCTTTAGTTATTTTATTGTTTTCTATTTTATTTTTATTATTTTATATTTTATTTTTTTTAATAAAAAATAAGTATGCTAATCTAATTTTATGTAATATTAATATTATGTGCTAGCAGGAATTTGCCGGTTATTTAAATATTAAACATCCTGTAACTTTGTAACAAGATCAAATAGGACACATGTTAATATGAACTTTTTTCATTGTTGGTGTGCCCCCTATCCATCCCTGAAATGGGTCCCACATGTTATGATATACCCTGGGCTATTTTTGCATCATTCGTTTCTTTTATTTTATTATTTTATATATATATATATATATATATATATATATACATATACAATAATAATAAAATAAAAGAATTAAGTGAATGATGCTAAAATAGCCCAACTAACCCAAAAGACATTTTTAAAATGTTCATAAAACGTTGCAAACAAATAAAGAATTAAACTATAATAATATAAAATATTTTCATTCAAAAACATAACACATATGTTTTTGTTAATACTAAATGATAATTAAAGTAATACATAATAAAAAATACGAAATAATGATATTTTAATCACTAAGAATTTATTAACAATATTTTTTGGTTCTTTATAGAGATTATTAATTTCTATTTATTTGTAAATAATTTTGCAACCGGCAGATGGAATCTACGGAACGAGTGAAAAGGAAGAATATCAATTGGCAAGTAATTTTGGCCGGGATTCATTGTCGTTCAGAAATAAAAAATTTCCTGATTTCCCAGGTGATAAGTTAAAAAGTTATTCATCGAAAATCATAATCAGGAAAGAAAACAATGCATAAATCGAATAGCTAGTTCTTAAAAAATAAATCGCGTGTATTTGCTGGAGTAGCGAAGTTGAAGAATTCCGAAGCAGTTATCGTAAGGAGCTTAAAAGGTCAGACCATTTTTCACATAATTTATTATGTATCAATTATTTATGTATTATTATTTCAATATTTAATAATACAAATATACACACATACATATATTATGTGTGTGTATATTGGCGCCTGTATACACTATTTAATTCTGTCAAATAAAATAACAAATGATAAATATACTATAAATATATTATAAAAATAATAAAATGATAAATCATGTGATAGAAACACGATATAATTATGAATATAAATTTATTACTCGCAGGAAAAAAGTGCGCAAAAGAGTAGGGCTTAAAAATATGTTTACTCATATATCTTATTACTATACATAATTATATATATTACATGTGTATATCTTTCTCTACTTTATATAATATTATTAAATTGTTTTGTGTATCAAGATATAAAAATTATAATAACAACGCTTACATTTAAAGTTTAAAACATATACTAATAATATTAAATAATGATAATGATAAAGAGTGGTTAAGAAAAGTGTATGGAAAGTGTAAAGGAAAATTTGAAATATATATGTGTATAAAAAAAAACACAATAAAAAAATTAATTTTTCATATCTTAAAATAGTAATTTGTTTCCTAATTCTTTTCCAAGTTATTTCTTTTTTATTTGTTATATCGCAAATGTCATGATATTTACGTCCTATAAAAAATGTTAACAAAAAAAATTATCTAAAATAATGAATTTAAAAAAAAACAAAATTTTTACGTGATGTGTAACAATAGTTGTTACATATTATGACAACATAAATTCAATCAATAAATAAAATTTGCAGATATCAGTTAACAATATTCTATATTACTCTACTATATATATATATATATATATATATATATATATAATAATCATAGCTAAAAATGTATATATTACTGTACAATATAGTTTATACAATTTCTATATATAAGTATGTATACAGGGTGACCCACATAAGCCTTAACAAGCTTATCACTCATATCTGTTTGACCGATTATAATAAAATTTATAGGATATTGATGTTGAAGAAACATTAAATTATTATATGCGTAATAATATTGAGATAAGATTATCAAAAAATATTTTAAGATATTTTATAGCTTATGTAAAAACGTGTCAAATTAAAGTGTAAAATTTCTTGTAAACTATTCAATTCTGGCCTTAATCCTCAATCTTACCTTTATAGCTTTTTGAATGTTGTGAGAAATTATATGAAAAAAATTAAATAATCCTAAAATTTATTTTAGGAAAAACAACTATATTATTTTGTTATGAAAAATTGAAAAGCAAAACTAAATTAAAATTCAAGATTATCAATCTTCTCTTCCTCAAATCCTATAAATTTTGTCTGAAAAACTTTTTTGTACGTGGTCAAGTTTAGAAGATATGTGTGCAACTGTTTTCATTAAAGTGGGACATCCTATATATATATATATATATCCGCGTATGTATATATGTATGCTAATAATTATCCAAAAAGTTTCCGGTTTTTCTACAATACATCACAAATGTGTGCACTGAGCTGAGTATATGATACAGATATAATTGATAGATAAATTATAATATATATTCAGTGTATATTATATGTATATAAACTAATCCTCTCTCCATACAGAATACACGCGTGGACGGCAAGAATGATAATGTATACATAATTTAATCGCTTAGAAATTGCTTGTTAAGCAATTTCATTAACATGATATGATTTATATATTTTAATAATTCACTTATATCGCCATTAAGCGAATTCAAGTGTTAATCACATAATTTACATGTGTGTGTGTATCGACTATTATTTTTAAATTAAAAAAAAACTGGTTCTTTTATTCCATTGTATAAAAATTAAAGTCAGCACACGTGTACATAATCAGGAATGTGTATTACTATTATAATAAACGTTCTTTACTCTAAGATATCTTTAAGATATCTTGCCTACGTTTCTATAACTTTTTAACACAAGTGTGGGAAAGTATATGCATATATCTATAGACTCTATTACGCATTAAACATTTACTGTACAGTATTTTTAGGAACTCGCAATTCTTTTTTTCTATAATAATATTTAATATAAACACAAATAATATATACTGCAAACCAAAAAAATATTAAAACGATTGTTGCCTCGATGATATCTATCCATATCTATATCTTCCATTTTGAATAAGAAATATTCAAAAACTATAATTATAAATATTACTTATTCGCGAAATCACCAACAAATTATGTGTATTTTCTTATTCGAGTAACAATGTCATATAACATATCATAACGTTAAATATTCAATATTGTTTGTACATAATTATGAAATAAAATTAATTATACAACAGACGACTTTTTACAAACTTAAACCCTATGATATTTTTTTCGTGCGACATATCTTTTAATGATAATAAGTTTATTCAGTTTTATAAATGTTTAAAATGCAATTATCAATTAGAAGTATCATATATTATACAAGGAGAGAATTATTTGTAAATCAGTAATTAAAATCTCAATTGTGCAAAAGATATATACAAAATACACGCTTAAGAAATGATTAGATTTAAAAAAAGGGAGAGAAGAGAGAATGGAATTCGTATCAGTACAGAACATTTCAATTATGTTCTAATTGAATGTTGCAATATTGCAATCTGTCAAAGAAAATATTTGGCAATACATCTGCTATTTTTGCAATATATAGACTGTATAGGAAGTTCCAGAGGAAATTATTAACAATAAATTATACAGATGTAGCACGTAAATAGATACAAATTAAAGTATAATGAATATAAAACTCTCTGATTTACTCATTAATATATGCTTTTCATGATGCATATATTGATAATAATATACAAGTTGTCCTAAAATCACTAAATGTTCCTTCAATAGCAGTAATAGATTTTCTGATCAATCATTTTTAACAAAAATGTCAAAACCTCAATAATATTTGAATTACAATTTAGAACATTCTATCTTCTAATTTTATTCAAAGTTTATATCAAAGTTTTGAAGATAATTTCATTTGTTTTATATTCAATTAATATTATCAGCGCATTAATGATGCACATCAAATTTAATTTGTTTAATATGATAAAAAAATATGGTAAAATATAATTTATAATGAGAGAAATGCATAAACAGTGAGAAATAATATATCCATTAACTACTTGATTTGTCATTATTGTTATTTACTTTGATGAATAAGATGATGAATAAGATAATTATCATGTATCCTTTTTCACACATGTAATACCTAAAGAAATTTCCTGCACAATATGACGTATATTATATTAGCTAGACTTCTAAATCATGTATATACTTTAAGTTTATATTTGTAAATAATATACTGTATGTTTAATGCAATACAATGATATATAAAATATACATACGTGAACTGCAAACTACGAAAGCTGAGGACAAAGATTACAAAGGCACAAAGACTTTATTCTGAAGATGGAAAGTCTAACTTCTGTTAGATTCTTCGAAATTTATCATTAAATTTCTCATTACCAATAAACACTTGTACATACACTGTACAAGAAAGGAAAATTTATTGTTCATCGCAATCTCGATAAAAGTGCAATGTAAATTCCAAATAATCAACACCATGTTTGTTTCTGCAAATATTCTGCAATAAAGGAATTAACGAAATTAGTGTAGAATTTGATATTAAAAAAACAAAATATTTTCAAGAGAACGTCTCTACTCCAATAATAATAAAAAAAGAAGATTATCTGTTTTAATACAATAAGTCCAATCTGTGTGTAAGTGTTAAATGAAAGTTAAAATAAAAAAATAGAAAACTTAATTTTTTTGACCTACTTTAACTCTTTTCGTCCCAAATGTCCATAATTTCTTCTCAACTTTCGACTCTATAACTTTTGACCTGAACGTCGTTGAAAAGAAAATTGAAAAAAGACATTTCTTATAGTTTGAAACCTCCTCTTTCGAATGCCGTGATCAGAATCGGCCTATGAATTGACGGAAAAAAGTTATAACTATTTTTTTTTTAAAAATGTCAATTTTTTCGACGTCGTTTCGCAAAAATCCTATATTTTGACAACGAAAAAGTTATTCCTGACCATCGCAAAATATCGTAATTGCGTATTTTTAACATGCCCTTTCTTATCCCGTTGGAATTTTTTTGAAAAACAAAATGGCGACTTCAAGATGGAAACATAATATTTAACTAATTTGAGGTTAGGAGTGAGTCATTTTGAGGTTAGGTATTCACAAATGATAATCCCCACTCTTTCATTCAATTTCATCAAGTTTTCAATCATAGATGCGAAACGGAAGAATAATCGACATTTGTGCAAAAAAATGAGGAATTCTGAATTGTCAGCGCCATCTTGAAGCCGACAATTTGATTTTCAAAAACATTCCAACGGGAAGGGCATGTGAAAAATACGCGATTACGATTTTGCGATGGTTAGAAATAACTTTTTCGTTGTCAAAATATAGGATTTTTGCGAAACGGCGTCGAAAAAATTGACATTTTTTTAAAAAAAATAGTTATAACTTTTTTCCGTCAATTCGTAGGCTGATTCTAATCACGGCATTCGAAAGAGGACCCAATAAGCAAAATGTAAGCAGTATGTCGACAGACTGGCAACAGATTTGATCAAACCATGTCAGCAGAATGACATCTACTGCGTTCTCATTCTGCTTCTAATCTGCTAGCAGAACCTGCTCACAGAATCGGATATCAGATTGTCGGCAGAAACTGAGCAGGATCTGCTATCAATGCTAACATGACTTGATGTCAGACTGTTAGCAGAAATCGAACAGGATCTGCGCGTGCAATTTGATGTTAGATTGTCCGCAGAAACCGAACAGAATCTGCGGATGCAACCTGATGGCAAATGGACAGCAGAAATTTCACAAGATTTGCACTTTTATTAATATTATATAAATGCAACAAAATTGATTATTACAGGTGCTAAATAACAATATTATCGGCAAGTTAATTAGAATTTTCTTATAGAAAATGACATATATGTAATATGTTATATCATAGTTATATTTCATATAGCGAAGGACTAATTTCAATTCTATTTAATTAAATTAATAATAAAGTAAATGTAACTTGTAAAACTTGAGATGTAATTTATTTAGAATTAAATTCTTGCTTTATGCCTCAAATAGCCAGTGCATGAATAATTTTCCATATATTATATTGATTCCAATCAGTTTAATATTCTGAATTCTGACTCTCATTTGCTTGTATCAGATATCAGAAATTAAAGTGAAAAATTAAAATGATGATTACTATATTTTTAGTCTTTTATTCATATTCGTGACTTTATATATATTTCTGACAGAAATTCAATTACGAGAAAGTACAGCTCACGTAGCGGTAAGTGAAAGAACTATCGAATCATGCAAATCCTGTTCCATTTCTGCCATCAATCTGCTATCAGAGATTGTATGCGCAGATCCTGTTCGATTTTTGCCGACAATCTGTTGTCAAATTGCATCGCACAGATCCTGTCCAATTTCTGCCACCAATCTGCCACTAAGTTATGCCGGCAGAATCTGTTCGATTTTTGCTGCCAATCTGGTAACTGATTATGTTAACAAGCTTTGTTATATTTCTGTTGACATTCTGGCGACATCACATGATATATCAGAACCTGCATCGATTCTGTAATCTTTCTGTCGACAACAATTTCTAACAGATTCCCTGACAAGATCTGCTTTAGCAGACTTGGCTATTGGGGGAGGTTTCAAACTATAAGAAATGTCTTTTTTCAATTCTTTTCAACGATGTTCAGGTCAAAAGGTACAGCATCGAAAGTTGAGAAGAAATTATGGACATTTGCGACGAAAAGGGTAAATGTCCAAACATTGTGAAAAATCTTAATAAATATATTATATTAATATAATTACCTCTTGAGGTTGTATCGTAGGTATTCGAAACTTTAAAGTCTTTCTAAGATAATGAGCGACGTCGAGAGAAAACGACTGATTATCACTCGGTTGATTATTATTTTCGATATACTGAGCTTGTTGCGGCACAGTGTAACTCCAGCCGCACATCATTGTTTCGTCGATATTGGAATTTGGCGAAAAGGGACACTGCTCCACGATCTGCCAATACCACGGCATGCCACTAAAAATTGTTATTAATGCATTGACAAAAATTTAATATATTTGTTTGTAAGTAAAGGTGTATAAATAATTTTGAACTTACACAAAATGTAATGTTAAATGCGTATCCGGCATATGTTTCGACAAAGGTATAATGCAACTAATATTGTTAGGCGTATCCGACGATGATGGTGAACAATATCTTTGATCTAGAGAGGTGTTGAAGTTTCTCGCTGCCACGATTAATTGTGGTCTAGGCTCCGGTGGCAATGATCCTGCGGCGTTGCTAGCGACTTCTCCCCAATCTCCACCAGTTTCTCGTCTCGCTCGTTTATGTAAATATTTGTAGTTAATCTATAAAAAGTATGCATATATATTTATATATATATATATATATATATATATATAATTATGATAAATATATATTCAAAAGAGATGATAATTTTCGAGAAAATCTATACCTCTTTCACAAGAGTTTGAGTGCTAGGATTAGATGGACTGATACCATTTTGAAAACCTTTAGCTAATTTCCGTTTCTCTTCATGTGACATGCTTAATGGCTGTTCCAAATGATCTGCTAAAAATAAGAGAATAAAAAATAAATCTCTACATTACTAAAATTCCTTCCCCCATGATTTTCATCCTGATATATTTTGTCGAAATTATTTGAGTATTCTACAAAAAATATTAGCCTTAATTGTTTATTATTTATTAAAAATTATTTATAAATGAAGATTCCAATCATAATTTTGAATAAAATGAAAAATTTAATCTTAGACACAATTTATATGGATATTTCTTAAATAAATCTTGATTCGTTCAACTAACAACTTTTTAATAAACAACAAGCAATCGACAAAAATTTTTTGGAGATTACTCTGAATCATAAGTTTGATAATATATGTTAATGACAAAGTTATTAGGAAAGATACATATAAAGATTTGCAAAATAGAATGTCATGTATTATTGTAATTTACATTCACCTGAAACTTAACATAAAAAGACTAATATAAAACTTACAAATGGATTTCTTCTCTGGTGGGTGATCAGGCTGAGGATCTTCCAACTGATGGATGCCAGCTGTGCAACAATACACCTACAAATTTATTCTATAAAATTATTTTTGTTTCTTAAAATTGAGAAAAAACGAAAGAAAAGAAGATTTAAATTTTGTTGAAATTTTATTTAATTTTTTTATCAAAAACTATCATTTCATTCGAACCGAGAGATAAACTATTTTGATACATAAGCTCGCCTAAAAATCAACGCTGATTGCATAATCTTTATTTAATAATTCTTCTTTTAAAAATTTCGACAAAATTTAAATCTTCTTTTCTTTCGTTTTTCTCGAAATTTATTGTACAAAAATGTTCGAGATAAGATAAGAAGAGAAGAGAAAGAGAAAAAAGAGAAAGAGAAAAAAGTTGGTAATCTGAAATAGTAAATAGTTTTCTATAGTAGCTGGCATGGAGTACCTGGCATGGACTTTCGAGCTCAGTAAAGTGCGTGGGACATTCCTCGGGTCTTCCTAAAGGAATCGGACCTTTGTTAGTGGATGAAGAATCTACATCTGAGCTTTGATCGTTTTCATCTACGTTGCTAGGAACAGCGCCCGCGCCAGTTTTACTGAGCCAGTTTCCAGGAAACTCGCTGAAAAATGTGTTATACAACAGTTTTAATAAATTTGTAAACAATGAAATGTTTTTATATAACATAAAAAATATTTACTGACTTATTTTTTTCAAGCTTAGGTTGAGAACCCGGATGGCTTATCGGATACCATGCTATTTCCTGAGAATATAATTGCTGTTTCGTGTGGGGAGGCGGTGTAGTCAGAGAGTTACTTTTAACAGATAATCCTCCATCTAATCCCCTCGTGTAAGATCCGTGTTTTGTGTACAAAGGAGATAATGTACTATGCAACAATGAATTATATCGGCGTTCGTAATTAGAAATGGTGGACACTGTCGATGGATGAGCTGGACCAATAGCTAACATTCCATTGCTTGCCATAGTGGGCCATTCAATGCTGCTACGTTTCTGGTATTCCAAGAAATATAAAGTCGCCATTGCAACTAGGCTAAAAATTTTAATATCAATATTTTAATTAAAGAATATTTTAGAAATATAAAATATAAAATCGACTTTTAACTCTCGCCATTAAATCCGATTGGATTTATTATTTAATAATGTTTTCCGTTATCTAGATATAAATCTAAAGTATAAAATAAAAATATATATATTCTTATTAAAAAATAAGTAAAATTCCACTAAAATTTTATTAAAGATCCAAATGGATCCAATATTTGCCAGTCAGATAATTTGTCATCGAGAGTTAAAATATTATCATGAATTAAGAGAATATGTAATTACCAGAAAGCCATGATGAGAATAAGTATAACAATGATAATTTGAATAAATTTATTACTGCAGAGAAGTTCTTCCTCTCTTTCGAGTCTTTTCGTTTTTCCGTGCAAAGATGACTTATTGATAGAAGATGAATATTTGTTGCCCGATATACTGGATACTGTGCTGATGGAACTCTTTAGACTATCGCCTCTTTTTAATTTCGCTAATCGTTTATTTATTCTTTCTAATTGATCTATTCTCGTTTCTAGACTATCTGTCACCTATAATAAGTTACACTTAAATAAAGACAGTACATTAAATTTGTTTACATATATATTTTGTGTCACAAAATCATTAGATAGATATGTCCTTTAAATAGCAGATTTTTTTGGCATTTTCAAGTTGTTTTTGCAAATTTTCAATGTAACTAAATTAAAATTTTATTGAAATAGATCTAAAATTAACTATAATATATAGAGTTAAAAATAGTTTTTATCTTTTAACTTTATAAAGCGTAATCTTTTTCAAATTATCTATAACTCGAAAATTACCGAATTATTGTCTATTTTCGATAAGAAAAAATTGTCCTTTGCCACTAGAAAATCTGCTATTGTTAAATAGATTTTGTGGTCATCTACATATATATACATAACGTCATATAAAAATTTTTTGGAAATTCTACCTTACACAATTCCTTGACGGCACCAACGTTCTCCATAAATATCCTTTCTTTATTTACCACCAAGAAATTTTCGATTCTCTGGCCATTTGGTAGAACGATATCACCTGCCGGCAGCACAGCTTCCGGTAAAATTTGCTGAACCTCTTGCGCTATGACACCAGTGTCTTCCTGCTTCACATCCAGACCGGAATGCTGTGCAAATTCTGGGGCATATCGATAACGAACAACGCGTAGCTGTTGTACATTTCGTAGCTGTTCACGCGTATCTACTTCTTGAACATTTTGTTTGGCCCTTGCATCGCTAGGTTGAACGATATGGCCTGTTACCTGTAACAAAATTTAATTTTTAATTGGACTTCATAAAGAAATATAAACTCAATAAATGTTTATATTATCGATACAATAGAAAAAGATAAAATATAAATAAAATAAATATGATATAAAAAAGATAAATATGAAAAATATAAATATCTATATCTATAATATATTAAAAATATTATAAAATATTAAAAATCAAGATTGTTGGAAATGTATGTATAATAGAGAAAAGTGTTTATATATATATATATATATATATATATATATATATATATATAATTTTTAAAATATATGTTACAAAACTGAAGTAAACTGAATAAAATCAAATTATATACATTAATAATTTTTTTTCATATTTTTACATCATACACATATATTAACATTATAATAATATGAATAAAAACAAAAGAATAACGCTAAATAATAATGCAAATAGCGAATACTACAAATAATAAATACTACAAATAATAGATAATACAAATGGTAAATATAAAAATAATGGGTAAAATTTTAATAAAAATTAACAAATTAAATAAAAATTTATTTAAATAAGCTAAACTATAGATATATAGATTTATCTATATTCTATACTAATACTAAAAATTGTATATGTGTATATATAATGAAATATATTCGGATAATAAATATTATTTATTCATTAACAATAAATATATTTTTTACCTTATATTATATATGTATATAATATTAAATTAACTGTGCTGGCAATACATGTACCATCATTTATTAAAAGAAATTACATAAACAACGTATGACATAATATAATTAGAGAAAATCTTAATTAACTAATTAATTTAACCTAATTAATTTACACGTAAAAAATAAAACACTCGCAATAATTCAAAAATCGCCGTACCTTCATATTGCCATGTACAACGAGAGCTTCGTCCGGCCTGTCCGTATTAATTCCAACTCTGCCAGCATGATATACGCTATCCGGAGCGGCTCCCCTTTGCCATCCACCTTCAGCACCTACACCACTACCCTCTGATTCAAATTGTCCTGGATTACTTGCCTACGATACAAAACATATATAAGAGTCAATCCATCATCGATTTGTTCACAAAATTATTTTAGCCCAGTTGACTTTACATACTCTGACAATGATGCGTTCCGATGCGTGAGCAACCACCTGATAACTGGCTTGATCCGCGGTATGGGCGTGTAATCCGACAACCAAATGAAAATACCTCTGATCTGGATTCGGCTTTCCCTTCTTGCGCATATTGTTACTCGTAGTTTCGCTAAAGTGTAAACGGCCGACCGTCACTTTCGTGACACGTTGGTTGCCTAATTCGATTCTGTAACACCGATGTCTATCGTAGCGTAATTCAGCAATATTCACAATTACATTACAGAGACTTCCATATATTGCGCTTGTATATAAACTTACGTTACAGGGTGAAACGGTTTTTTGCTTCTATCGCTCTGACTTTGCTCGACTCTGATCGTTTGCGACGGAGACTCCACTTTGACTCCGTAAAAATGCAATTGAAAACCGCTTATTTTTTTTAGACCCTCACCAGTTCTAACGAATATGGCCTCCCCTTGAAGTTGCGAGTGACATGTTATCTAAAAATGCACAACGTACGTGATTAGATATTAAAGTTAGCAAAAATTATATACAGGATGTGCCAAAAGTCCCGGACCGGTTGAATATTTTATAAACTATGCACTTTAGAAATAAATGTTTCAGACAAAAGTTGTATGGCTTGAAGGGGACCATCAGATAGTGGCAATGATTTGACCTTGAAGAGTCATTTAAAGGTGACGTAAAGGTCACCTTCAATTTCTTAAATAAAACTCCCTATTTTTTATTACATACTCGTGTAGCTTATCTCGAGAGCTTTCCAAAACACTATAATAAAGTATTTCTTTATTGAGTACTGTTTGAGTTATGAGGCTTGAAATCATTTCTTAATTTTACATAAACCGTAAAATATCTAGTAAACCATTCATTTTTCGATTATCTTACCTTAATATTTTTATGTACAAAATAATGAGAGGAATCAATTGGTGTAAAGAAAACACATAGTTGTTTAAAAAAAAAATGTAATTGTTAATTGCAAATTACATATTTTTTTTTTTAAAAACAACTATGTTTTTGCTTTACACCAATTGATTCCTCTAATTATTTTGTACATAAAAGTATTAAGGTAAGATAATCGAAAAATGAATATTTTACGGTTTATGTAAAATTAAGAAATGATTTCAAGCCTCATAATTCGGAAAGTACTTAATGAAAACTAACTTAATTATAGTGTTTTGGAAAGCTCTCAACGTGAGCTATCAGAATATTTAATAAAAAATAGGGAGTTCCATTTAAGAAATTGACGGCGATCTTCACGTGACTTTCAAATGACTCTCCCATGTCAAATCATTGTCACTATCTGATGGCCCCCTTCAAGCCATACAACTTTTGTCTGAAACATTTCTTTCTAAAGTGCATAGTTTATGAAATATCCGACCGGTCCGGGACTTTTGGGACATCCTATATATGTAATATAAGTGTATATTATTGTAGAAATTTATATATAATTTTTACAATATACATTTGTTGTTATATATTCAGGAAAAATTAAATCTGCGATACAATTCGTATTTTATCACTTCTTTACCTGAAAATGATTTTTTTTCTGGCAAACAAATGCATCATCCGAGTTGCTAAAATTGAATCCTTTGTCCGCGTCCACCCTGTAATGTGGTATCGGTAACTCTTTGAGATTATGATCGCAGAGGACATGCCAAGAGGTCTGTTGAAAAGGATGGAACCGAATGCATTGGTAACTAGCATCGATGTAACTATTGTCAGCGACATCATCGTTATCCACTACTGCGCTACTGCTGCTGCAACTGTGCTCCACGGTACCCAGTTCAGGTTCCTGAGGGAGAAATAACGTTGCAAATAATAATCGAAATAAGCGAAAAATTTGTCATATAAATACCCGAAACGCGAAAATACCTGTTTGACATGAATAAGACCATCTTGACTAAGTTTCCTCTTTTTCGGAGCCGATTGCAGAGATGAGTACAATGTATTAATGCCTGGACTGTGTTCGTGCGACAATGGTACCAAAGATGATCCTATCTGAGGCTGTGTCGGAAGACTCGGTGTTCCTGATGTAAGATGAGACGTCAAGACCGGCGTCAATAATAGAGGATCTGTCGTTGCCGAAGGCAACGCTCTCGGAGAAGGTGGCAATAAATTAGACGGGTATTGGCTGTTTTGGTGATGCATGAGAATTTCTTGCAGGGCTGCTTTTTGGTCTGCAATTACACATGTATATACAATTGTTGTTATAAATTTTATGTTCCATTGTGTGAAGTATTTTACGTAAGCAAATTTAAACTCACGTGGCGAATGCACGTGTTGAGTGTCATTATGTCCCGGCGGTGAGTACGGTGGCTCGCTTCCGCTATCCGGTGGGCTTTCTGGTAATGCATGCCTGGAAAATACAATGTTTTTTTCTATAGAAAATTTTTAGCAAGATATTAGAATGCTGTAAAAATCCGTTTTTCTATTAAATTCTATTTTCAAATTTAATTTCTGTTTTTAAAAATTAAAAAAAATTAAAAAATTTTCTTGAGAAATCTTGATATGTCAAAAAATTATTAAATGACTTTTTTGATTAATAAAGAGAAGCAATTTTTATATATAATTTGTTTCTAAATTAACAAAATAATGCGCATTAAATATGCAACATTTATAATAAAGATTTAGAAATATTAGGTTTCGATGTTGAATCTTTCTCTCTCTTTTTTTATTAATGCTCTCCTTTTTTTTATTAATGCAGGGCGGATTTATTTAATATAATTTTGAAATATGTATAAAAAATATATATAAAAATATATAATACTTTTATATAATTCCAAAACTTTACTTTTATTTAAAAATCGAAATCGATATAATTTCTTGTGCATAAATTGGACTTTTTTTATTGTATTAAAATAGAAGTTAATAATTTTTCAATACAGTCTTCAAGAAGATGCACTTGTCTTATTTTTATACAAATTTGAAGATCCTTTCGATATAAAAATGTTATTCAAGAATGATTTAAGCATCAAGAGGCAAATTTTTATCGAAGAAGAATTTTCAAACTCGTGTCAAGATGGGACAAATGCATCTATGTTTCCAAAAATTATATTGAAAAAAATTATATTTAAAAAAAATTTTTTTAATTTATTTATATTTTAAAATGTTAGAAAAATAGTTTTTTAAAAATTATATTTTTTCCAAAGATTGTAATGAAAAAAAATTATTGAAAAAATTAGTTTTTAACACAACGAGTCGAATTTGTGTACAAATGATAAATAAAAGTAATGAAACAGAGGGAATCTTTTTGATTCACCCTAATGATTCTTAAGCGAGTTCAACTTACGGATGAACATACGACTGTGGATCTTTGTAGCCACCATTATTGTTAGGCACCGTCGTAGTACCAGAAATGCACGCTATCGAGACTGGATGTGTCATCTGCGGCGAAGGTAATCGCGGTGATGGCTGCTGCTGTGCAACGACCGGCTGCGACGTAGGTGCTTCGATCCGGCCATTGTGAGGCACCGTGCCACCCCCATTTTCATTATGCGCGAGGGTGTCCGCAAAGTATCTAATGCAAAATACAGATCTCTCATCTAATATGTCTTCAGGTATGCTTGCTTCTTATTTTTTTCCTCTATAAAATGCTTGCAAATTATCATTTACTGCATTTAAATAATTATATCTACTCAAATTTTGTAAAAAGATTCCTTGATCTTTCAGATATTTTTGTTTAAAATTCCAGAAAGATACAATATTTCAAAGGAAAATCACCAGAAGAAATAGAGGCACTTAAATTTTTTTCTTTCTAATCTAGCATTTGTCAATGTACTGAAAAAAAGTATTAAATAATTTTCGTAGATGAACATTTTTCACTTGCATTTTCATTTTTTTATTGTTAAAAATTACAATAAAAAATATGTACTGCATATTTAATATTTTGGCAAGTGTTATAATATTTTATATGAATAATATATGTAGATACAGGGTGTTCCAGCTAACTCGAACATCTTAAATACAAAAAAACATCTTGCTCGTTTCTGATGATAGGAAAAAATGTCACAGAAAAAAATTATTTTGTTTGAAAAAGCTAATATTATGATGAAAAAGAAATTTTTCTCAAGGTCATCAACATTTTTTTAAACAAAACCCCCTATTTTTTATTGGATTCTCATAGCTTTTCTCGAGAGCTTTCTGAAACACTATAATGAAGTATTTTTTATTAAGTACTTTTCGAGTTATAAGACTTGAAATAATTTTTCAATTTTACATAAACTATAAAATATCTCGTAAAATATTCATTTTTAGATGATCTTATTTCAATACTTTTATACTCAAAATAATGAAGGGCGTCAATTGATATAAAAAAGCACACAGTTGTTTTTAAGAAAAAATATGTAATTTGCAATTGACAGGTACATATTTTTTCTTAAAAACAACTGGGTATTTTTTTATACCAATCCTCTCATTATTTTGTACATAAAAGTATTAAGATCGGATAATCGAAAAATGAATATTTTACTAGATATGTTTTGTAGTTTATGTAAAATTAAAAAATTATTTCAAGTCTCGTAATGATAAGCTATAAAAATTGCAATGAAAAAAAAAGATTCCATTAAAAAATATATTGATGACCTTAAAATCTTGAAAATAATGATCGCCTTGAGAAAAAAATTTCATCCTCATCATAATATTGACCTTTTTAAATCTTTAAATAATTCAAATAATAATTTTTCTCTCTGACATTTTTCCTATCATCAAAAACAAACGAGATATTTAAGGATACATAAACAGAGATATATATTTATAACCTATTTTTTAATATATTTTAGAGATATATATTTATAATAAATTTTAAACATATAATTGAAACTTGTCTTATCAAATTACCGATTGCTTATACAAGAGCAAAATTATCAAAATGAGAATTTTTGAAAATATTTCCTGTGTTGAAAAATTCCTAATTTTTCAGATATAAAAGAAATCCTTGAAAATCTCTGATTTTTCATGTTTCTCCAGAAAGTAGACAGTGAATTCCTGTACAATATATCTTCTTTGTAGAAAAGAGATGATACAATATTATTTGATAAGAATCATGCCATGTTGTATACTAGCCTTTTTATTGATCTTTCGAGAACTATGCGTGCCAAGAGCGCAATTGAATTTGCAAAACACGAGATATCGTTATCGTTTGAATCATTCTGCAGAAAATGACGCTTTGACGATTCACGTTTTGTCCCACGAGTTGAGAAAACTCGCGAGTGTTTCATTACACGGTACGGGCACTATTATGCAATTTCCGTGTTGAAGACTCGGCCACAATTTATCCGACGAGAGAGAATTTTCCGTGAATTCTTAATTAGAAAATAATTGAAAATACTCGCTTTCGATAACAATCTTTATCGAAAAAAAAGAATCATGTAAAATACCTATTCTTTTTCATTGCATAAGCCAGCCAATAATTATACCAGTTTAATTATAGTCAGTTGGAAATTCTTGATTCCTCAAATATACTTTATAGCCAAGTATTGTATTCATTATTATTTTCTCTGTTGCATATTTTTATTTTTTTTTGTACTCCGACATCCTGTGCATTATGTCTCACATTGTTCTCCAACTAATGTAACTATGTATAATTGGAAAAATAAACGAGCAATCTTTGTAGAGTCTCTTCTCTTTCGCCAAGCGAATTCATATAAAATCATTTCGTATTTGCGTCATTACTATGAATTTTCTCCGCTTATCTATCTAACTAATGTTTCTTTAAATAACATATCTGTTGCGTGTTGATCACGATATATGCACGTGTACATACACATCAAAATATGCGTCTCACAATCATAAGAATAAGATATAGAAATACCAATAAAAAATATTTTTAGAGTTGTAAAAAATGTAACTAGTAAATTTATCCGTATATGTAAAAATTACATGGATCAAAGTATCTCCGTAATATCTACGTAAGTAATATTTTAAAACATAAAAATATGATAAACGTAATTTCACGCCGAATAAATTAAATATGACATTGTTAAATTTTTTTATCGAAATTTTATCGTCTTCCAGTCTATCAATTTGAAGTCTACCATTGCGAGGTATCATAAAAATCTCTCTTTCAAAATGCAACATAAGTACTAAAAATCGGATTACAAAAATAAATAATATTAAAAATATATAATAAAAATAAAATAATAATATTAAAATAGTAACAATAATAAAAGAAGAATTTTTAGAACCTAAATAAATTTAATCATATATCAAAACTAAAATATAAATATTTTTTAATAAAGAGAATAAAAAGATATTTTAACAAACTATAAATATTTCAAAATTAATAAATAATAAATAAATAACCATAAATAACGCAACATTTTAAAACACATACAAGAATATTTATATATACAATATATTTTAAAATTTAGTGTTGCTCGATAAACGAGATGATATTTCGTATGCTAATATCGCTCAGATGAATAAGTTTTTTTCAATTAATTTTTGTGCTATTGCGATGATTCTGACAGTCTTTTTTAATGGAAGACAAGTGTGTTGGAAGTCGGATTAGCAGGGTTACCACTGTGCATGCTGTGATTCCATCAATTCTGTTCTGTCTGCCTCTGCCATTATATCATTACACCTCTGCGGTCGTTATCTGCATGGATATCTGTATGCGAACCAAGTATATACATGCATGCGCGATTGTGTTTGCGTATAAAGAATAGGTGGATGCGTTTCCTGGGTATGTGATTACGTCAGTATTCGCAGGTCTGTAATAAGATATTTTCGTGCCCCAAGCTATGAATGGATTTGGGAACCTGTTGTTGTAAATTCGTGTGTTGTTGTTTTTTTATTTTTAAATGTCAAGTCTTTGTTGCTTTTTCTCCTTCCTCTTTCTCTCTTTCTTCTTCTCTACTCTCATATAATAAATATACAATTATATTGTACTAATAATTGTAGCTAGTTGTATAATAATTGTACTCGTAAATGTAGCTTGTTTTAAAATAAATAAGCTGCAGACAAAATAATAATATATCATCAGTTTAAATTGCAAAAATATTATTGTCATTATGTAAAATTAATATATATGTTAAGCAGTGTTAAAAAGGTCTGATTTTAAAACTTTAATAAACACTAATAGATTCGTATATGCTAGAATGTATAAGTAACTATCAAATTTAATGTTAAAAATCATCGAGATTAATGTCATACAATTTTATGTATATATGTACATAATTTTGTCGTAACAAATTAATATAAATTTGTATTAATTTTATATTAATTTTTATTATCTTATTTTTATTATATTTGTATTATATCGTTATTATGTTAACTTTTTATCTTTTTTTATAGAACTTTCAATTTTTAAATCTATTTATTTACTACTTATATATAATATTGCCGTACGGCATTTTTACAACTTTCTGAGGCTTTTAAGTCCTGCAATAAAAATACATGCACATTTCTGAAATATTTAATCTCTACTGTATTATCACCGATATATAGTGACAATTTCACGATTCTTATATAGATTTTTTTTTCTTGATCGATTATATTTTAAAATCATTACAATTTATAAATAATATGACGCAAATATTCTCTTTTGGCAAAAATATAAAAATATAAAAAAGATTTAGTTCCTTTTTTATTATTTTATATTCATTCCTTAAAAGAAACTGTTTAAAATATTATAATATCACAGCAATTCCATTAAATGAAATATGGATTATTATCAAAACATAGCAACCATTCCTATGATAATCGTTGTAGTGACGGAATAGTCTGAATATATAGAGTCAAGATGAAGCAATTTAGGAATTTAGCCTGATACTTGGTCATGTCATTCGCAGGAAACGCGTGCTCATGCTGCTGGATGGTAAAAGCATTATTATCTAAATTTGTTAATTAGCATAATTTGAAAAGGGGCGCCTATGAACGTAGAAATGGCATCATACACGGTTGTTTTTGCAGGATTTTTTTTGTTTCTTTAAATTTTTTAAATATATTGTAACTTTGTATAAAATTTCAATTGATTTTTATAGATTTTAGCAAGGGGTCAATCATCGTATATTTTATTAGAAATATATTGCGGCAATAATAAATACAGTATAAATATAAAATACAGTATAAATATAATTTTAGAAAATACATGTTTTAGAAAAATATTAAAATAATACTAGCAAAATAAAAAAAAGAGTAATATGCACTAGAAATACTTCTTAATTCTGCGGCAATATTGACAATAAAATAATAATAGAAATATAATATAAAAGCAACATAATGACAGTGTTAGTAATAAAATGTATTGCTAAAAATGCCAATCATTATACATTATATTGTATATTAATAAATCAAAATTATTTTTAAACTAAAATTTTTTAAATTAAAATTACTTTTAATTTATTAAGAACAAACATATATTTAATAAAAAAAAATTTATAAAAAAAAATTTATTTAACAAGTTAAATTATTTATTTGCATTAAAAACTTAAAATTCTATACAAATGTTATTTGGACGTATAAAATGTAAAAGCATAAAATAATATGCTCAGAATGCAATAAATATATTGAAAATATATTTATTGAAAATTTATTATTACAAAGGGGAGGGGATATTAATAATTCATGATGATAATGATGATGATAAGATATATGTTTATTTCGTTAAAAAAGTTTTTTGTTTCATCAGTATATAAAATGTAGAATGTGGGGAAATATTATTATTTATGAACCGAGGAAACAAATTAATGCAGCTTCGATAAACAGATTTTTATCGATATAAATTAATAAATTCATGCTATAGCATTCTCTGAGAAAGATCAATTCGAATTTTGTGATTATATTGTGACACGTAGTATTCACGTGCAACAGACACGCTATTGTAGGCGTTAACCATGGCTTCCAAATGTAGTTAAACTCTGACGCCAGATCGAATACTTTGATGTCTGAGATCAGGTTTCTCGTCTGATCGAATCTTTTTTTAAGCCGACCCAAGGCGCATCGAATAACGAAATAAAAGTAAGTAATAATAGTCATAATATCTATCGAAAATTAATGTTCTTTAGACTCACGTTGCAGGTTGTTCACTGTCGCTGTTGATAAAGTCCTCCAACTGCGAAAAATCCAGAGCCTCGTTGTCTATACCTCCGACGAAATCACCACGACCTGAAAGAAGACGAAAAATTCTATATTAAGATAAAAATAAATCATCAATGGATCAATCTATTATCAATCGATAGTCTTCGACAATATTCATTTTTTTACCACAATATATTATATATACATATGTATAAATATATATATATATATATATATATATATATATATAATATAATTTGTGCATATAAGTGTCTACTTAAATGTATAAAAAGTTACACAGATATTTTTGTTCAAACTTCCAGATGAAGAATATTAATATTTTAAAAAACTTTTGGTGCAATTTTTTAAAAGTTTTTTTATTATATCTGTTATAATGTTTTTTACTTATACAAAGAAAAAACAAAAAACTACTTAAATTTCAATCGTTAGATTTGCAAAGATAATAAAAAAGTTTTCGTAAGATTTCGTAAAAAACATTTTTCACTTGATAACATTTTCACTTTTTTATAATATATATTTTCACTTTTTTACTAAAAATTATAATAAAGAAATACTGTATATTTAATTTATGATTGAACTAATTTAATTACTTTATATTTAATTTATGATTAAATATAATAAACAGATGTATATGTATATTTATATAAAATATTTATATAAAATATTTATATAAAAATATAATATTTATATAAAATATTTATATAAATTATATAATATTTATATAAAATAATTTAAACACATTATTTATTTGAGTTGTCAATTGTTTACTTGTCATAAGAGTAAAAATCTTTTAAAAAAGTTTCCGAGTTCTAATAAAATGCCAATTCATTGAGCTCTTCAAATATTAAAGAAATTCCTAAGATTTTCAGGTTTTCTCTAGGACGTAGACATTCTGTGTGTGTATGTGTATATATAATTATATGTATATAAATTTTATGAATAACATTGTTACCATGCGTTTCGCATAAGAGTCTGTTGTCATTTATTGCGTCATAAGACGCAAGAGTTCGTGTGAGGAAAGCATCTATCGTATGGGAAAGAGATTTCAGATAAGAATATTGCACGTTACCGTTCTCGACGATTTTTAGCAAGGGAGAAAGTCGATTTATTAAATGGATACAAACGAATTTCACGGATGATTGCGATTCAAAGACGAACGGAGTGAATAGAACGTCAATAAGCAAGGAAAAAACTGTTCTGCGAACAGTCAAATTTCTTGTAGCTATTCCGTGTTTCCATCGAGACACATGTCTATTTTTAGATAGAATCGATAGAGAGAAAAATGACTTATTATATATATTTATTATGTTATATCTTTAATTTTCTTCGATGAAAATTGCGTAAAATTAAACGAGAAGAGATCTAAAAATCGTCGAGGCGGTCATTAGCCTTTTCTCAATCAACGTTGAGACTTTTGATCTTGTTTTGAAATGTAAGAATACCAGCATACGTGTACACTTTGTATATGTTAGCGCTTAAGATTACAAGCTAAGCGTTGTAATACGTTACTTCCGGTCAAACATTCATAGACATTTGAGCATTGGGAGTCGAGAATATAAAGACACTTTGCAAGTGAATAACGAGACGTAACGATGTATCGTGTTGTCCCGCCGAATGTTTTTCCGGTCGGGCAATATTAGACTGATATAAAGCTCTTGAGGAATTAGTCTTATCTAATAAGAAATTAAATTTTATTAAAGTAATGAGTTTTATGAAATAGTAATAATAGTAGTAGCAGCGATAGCAGTTTATTCTATTTTGAAAAAGGATTTATTATATTCTCTACGAATATAAAACTAGTAGTATATAAAGTTATGTATAAAGAGAAAAAAGGATTTTGAAAATATATATAATTATAATAACTATAATAATTATATTTTTTTAATAATTATTATTATATAATTATAATTATTATTAATAATCATTATATTTTTTTAAATATACTTATTTGTCAATATTTCTATTATTCAATATATGTATTTAACAAATACTTTAAAAGTTTCTTCAAAACTTAAATAAATTTGAAATTAATAAAAATAAACAGAATTTTTTTTCAATAGCTTCTAATTCGAAGGAACGTCTTGGACTTTAAATGCAATCATTCCTTCTTAGAAGTGATTCCTGGTTTTTTTGTAAGTGTCCATAATAAAAAGTATCATTTATTTTTAAATTAGATGAATATTGTCCAAGATATGCATGACGATTAACATCTATGAAAAGAAATCGAGGGGTGAGTTACGATGGTAGATGAGTCGTTGCCAGCCAGGCCTTTATCGAGGTATCGACCAAACATCGCCCCCGTGATGGGTGGCTATTTAAATGTGAATATCACATTATACCAGATATGCGCCATAGTTATAAATTATCGAGTCAATATCAATATATGAAAATTATAATAATCGATATTATTCTACGCCTTGCAGAAATAAAATCTCTTAATATACATATATATAATTTTTAAGGATGTATAAATTTTTTATATAAATGAATCGAACGATATTTGCACTCCATACTTTTCTAAAACAATTTTATATGAAAGAATAAAAAAAAATAATTATTGCAGAAAGTTATTCCACACATTTGTTTGTATATTAAACTTTGAAAATACATACTTTCGAGAATTATTTAAAATTGAATCGACAAGCATCTTGCGGTAATTTTTTTTGTGACAGAATTATTAAATAATAAGAAATGCAAGAAACATTTATTTTATTTGTAAATTTAATTACAATATTTGCAATAACGCAAAAGAATGTCAATTTTACTAACAATTATACACATATTCTCTTGCTCATAAATTAATTATGATAACAGAGTGCCTACTCTAATCGTATAAAAAAAATCCTTGAACATTTTCTATTATTTCAGGTATTTTTATTTAAAATTCTCCGTAAGAAGAATATTTTAAAGAAAAATTTTTTAAAACTTTTTTTAAAATAAATTTTTTTTATTGAACTTGTTCTTTAATATTTTTTATTTATAACAAAAACGGAATCATTTAAGTTTCAAATACTAGATTTACAAGTGTACTGAAAAAACTGAATAGTTTTCGTAAGGTAAACATTTATCACTTGCAAAAACATTTATATTTTCTTACTAAAAATTACAACAAAGAATATCCTATATATTCAATATTTTGTTAAAACAGTAAATATATAAACAGAATTACATATATATTTATAATACAGTTTAAACACATTATTTACACATGGTTTACCGACCTGCAAGATAAAAACATAATTATTAAAGAGAATTATCGAAATGATCAGAATAATAAAATTCCATGAAAATTCTCTGTCTCTTCCCAACGCAAAAGAAATCGTAGAAAAATCTAGATTTTCTATGTTTTTCCAAGCCAGTAGACATCCTGTATGCTAATGTTAATTTTCACTCAAGCGATGCATCCGGTCATTAATAAAGCAATAGCATAATAAAATAATTGCGCCTATTCCAACCAATCGAATCCCGAATAATGCAAGAATGCTCGTATGTAAGCTTTCGATCCATGTATCAACCACTTTCTCCGACGAGGCAAATAGAAATGCATAGTATATACATGTACAAACGGCGACACGTCTATGAAAATTGGCTGGCTTTCATTCTTCGCGATAGAATATACACAACGCGTTTGCATATTTCAGCTGCCGTAATCGACATGACGATGAAACGCAACATTAACGCAACATTAGTATCTTTACGACAACGAAAACATTAGTATCTTTACGACACGTGTATTGTCACGATCGTATCGTGAACGGAAGAAGTTAATCGAAACCCAGTTGTCGATTTTGAACCCCTGTTAATCGTAGAATTGATGCAGCTGCCATGTCACGAATCCGACTGGGAGTCCCACCTGAACCCTAAACGATTAGCAGGATGCGTAGCATTTTTTTTTTTCACGGCTATTAGAAGCCTTCGAGGGGGAGCTCTTGAACAAGTTGTGGACAGGTGTTAAACCGCCGTTTACATGCTCATAAACGTATCTATATATAACGATAACATAACTATGTAAAGTTATTATATATTGTAATATAACAATAAATTCGTTGAAGCAGATGTGAAATTATAATAAAGAATTGCTCAACCCGCACACATACCTATATCTCACATTGGAAAAAATAGACAAAATAATATACTTTTAGAAATTAATAATAAAGAGATTTAGAAATTGATTGTATGCGGATTTAAAATTTTTGAAATTATCTCTCTTTTGAAAATAAAAAAATGAAAATTAACATTACATTGCCTCTTTAAACTCGATGATGATAACGCTGTTTGTTCGACATTGATAACTTTTACGCGTAATATACGAGATATTTACTGACATTTCATGAAAAACATTTTCTTCAATGAAGAAATCTATTGCGAGATATAAAGAATTAAAAAATAGTATGATGCATTGACTTCATTGAATATACTGCTATGTATCGTATATGTATATTTCTTATATTGTTTGAAAATACAAATATTTGCTCTTTTTTATATAAGAGTTTGTCTTTTTTTTCTTTTCTCACACGGGAATATAATAAATTATTGTATGCAATCATGAACTTTACAATTATAATTTGTATTTATTACAATTTTAATGTTTTATTCTTCATTTTTCCTTTTTTTCTCTTTTTCTTTGGTCTTTTAAAATTAATCAAATCTTGTCTCCACCTAAAAAATTCGACGAATGTCTGTAATTTCTTTATTGTAAACAATCTATACACAGAATATTCTAGATAGACAAATAAAAATACCATTTTATTTAAATAATTAAATAATTATTAAATAATATTAAATAATTAAATAATTATTAAATAATATTAAAAAATAAACAAATTATTTTCTTCTCTTTATTTCGAAAATATCGCTCCGAAATATTAAAATGTTCAGTAAACGAAATCAAATTAATATAATAAAAGAAAATGTTTTATTTTGGAATGTTAGTAATTCCGTAAAAAGCCGCTTTTGACAAGTTTATAGCAATTTGAATCTAATAACAATTTATAGAGCAATTTAAATCTAAATGCTCGAAATCGCGGTCGCCGACTTTTACGTAGATTTTGTATCTTTCGCAGAAA